ATAATTATATCTAAAATTAATAAACAATAATAATAATAAAGATAATAATTTAATAATAAACAAATGTGTATCAAAAAAGGTTATGGAAAATAAAAATAAAAATGTTTTTCCGCGTCAGCTCTTTAAAGAGCTATATGTATATAATGTAAAAGTATGTTCTGGGTATGAAATGTAAAAAATAGATTGTTTTTATTAAAATTTAAACTTCAATCAATGTGTCAGTAATAAAAAATGGTAAAAACTATGTTGTTGTGTTCATGAAAAATAATAGTAGATGCAATATGTAATAAAAGAAACAATAAAAAGATAAACATATAAAAAAAAACAAAAGCTATAATTATAATAAAAATAATTATAATCTAAAATTAATAACAATAATAATAATAAAGATAATAATTTTGATAATAAACAAATTTGTATCAAAAAAGGTATGAAAATAAATATAAAAATGTTTCTGGTCAGCTCTTAAAGAGCTATATGTATATAATGTAAAAGTATGTTCTGGGTATGAAATGTAAAAATAGATTGTTTTTATTAAAATTTAAACTTCAATCAATGTGTCAGTAAAAAAAATGGTAAAAACTATGTTGTTGTGTTCATGAAAAATAATAGTAGATGCACTATGTAATAAAAGAAACAATAAAAAGAAAACATATCAAAAGCATAAAAGCTATAACTATAATAAAAATAATAATAATCTAAAAGTAATAATAATAAAAAAAAATAACAATAATAAAAATAATAATTATAATAATAAACAAATTATAATAATAATAATAATGATAAACAAATTACATGTATAATAATATAATAACAAATTAAAAGTAATAAAAAAAAAATTAATAATATAAAAGTAAATACATGTATGATAATAATAATAACAAAAAAAAATATATAAAAGTAATATTTTTTTTTTATAAAAGTAATAATAAAAAAAAAAATTACATACCAACAACGTCACAAGATTCGTTAACTGAATGGTGGGAGAAGTGTAGCGCGTTATACAAATAATAATATAAAATAATAACAAAACGTCCATTCAGTCGCGCGCTTATGACAGTTCGACATATACTATGACTACACTTCTTCCAATGCTGCCTAGTTTTAATAACTAGCATGTCCCAAGCCATGATAAAAGCAGAGGGGAAGAAATGAAGTTAATATATTTTATAGCGAAATCCACAAAAAATTATCTGATCATGGTCTGCACTGTTCACTATTCAGACAGAACATATTTTGAAATTTTCCCTAAATTAAAGTAATTAAATTGAAAGATGGATATAACTGAAAGATGTAGTCCATTTAACATACTAAGCTCTTCCAATGCTGCCTAGTTTTAATAACTAGCATGTCCCAAGCCATGATAAAAGCAGAGGGGAAGAAATGAAGTTAATAGATTTTATAGTTATATTAAAGGGACTCCACTGAGGTTTAAATGCCTAAAAAACATAACATTTGAATTTCTAATTCATAAATGAATTGGGGCACTTTAAACAGAAATATATGCAAAGATAGTTAAGAAATATACTTTGAAATAAATTGAAAATCCTTATGCTTTTCTTAGCCTGATTTGAGTGAAAAGCGTTTAAACGCTTTTCATTTTTGGTCATTTTTTACAATTTGAATAATTATTCTGGAAAAACAAATTGCGCAAATGATCTGAAATTTTGCACAAAGATTGGTGGTCTTAACCTTCATCAAATGGTACATTTATCTGGAAAAATAATTTTCAGTCCCATGATGACAAGAAACCTCAGTGGAGTCCTTTTAACAAAAATTGTCTTGTTATTGTTCACAATTCAGTCAGTATACCGGTAATGTTTTGAAATGTTCCCTAAAATAATAAGATTGAAAGATAGGCAAGTTCTATTTAATATACATCTCAATTTCGTTATCCTTTCATTATCTGTTTATATCAATTACTCATGATTCATCCTTTTTGTCATAGTGGTAGAGTGTTGGCTCTTTGAGTATAGCTATTCTAGTTACCTGTGCATCGGCGTAACCACTTATGTTAAAGTTTGCGAACCACCTAAAATATTTTTAGTCTACTGACATAAGGCTTTGAAACTTTGCACACATGTTCACCATCATGCCACCAACCTGTGGACAGAAGGAGGAAACTCTATTAAGAATTTTGACAAAATTGTGCCCCTTTTTAGCTCGCCTGAGCTAGCTCAGGGTGAGCTTTTAGGATCGTTGAATGTCATCTGTCGTCCATCCACATTTGCTTGTTAACACTTCAGTGGTCAGGATGCTTGTCTAGATTTTAAATTTCTAGGATGAGTTCGAACATGGGTCATCTCTGATGAAAAACAAGGTCACAGGAGCTAAAAATAAAAAAAATCTTTTTAAGTCTCTAGTGGTTATTGTTTAGCTCCAAATATCCTGGAAATTGGTCTGCAAGTTTGTTTTGATGATTTCTGTGTCGAGTTAGAATATGGGTCACCTGGGTTAAAAACTAGGTCACACTGCCCAAATATTGAAAAAACTTGTTAACACATATTTTTGCCTCAATTGTCATCAAACTTGGTCAGAATGCTTGTCTAAGCAATTGCTCGGATGAGTTTGATGGGTCAGGTGAGTGATCTAGGGCCATCTTGGCCCTTTTGTTTAGAAAAGACCAATATTTGGCCCTTACTTATATTTGGCTGTTTTAAAACTATCGATGCAAAAAAGTAGGAAGAATGTTAATCTTTTAAATGAATTACAAGCCATGGCTAGTAAGTTTTAAGCTCTTTTAGTTTAATTGTAAAAATGCCTCTATTGTATCACATACATAAGAGGAGATCTGAGTTCAAATCTCAGCGGGAGCATTTATTTGCTGATTCATGGTTTGTAAGATTAAAACATGGCTAAGAATGTTAAGTCTATATCAAAGTCATTGTATGTCCCCTAACGGTTTTACCGGAGGGAACTTTAGGTTTACCCTCCGTCCATCCGTCTTGTCAGTCCGTACGAACCCAGAGGTACTTGTGTGATTGGATAACAGTAAATTCTCTGATTCTTTTCATTCCGTTTTACTGGTGTGTCTTTTTTTAAGCATTGTGTGAATGAATAATGGCAAATTTTACACATAAACTGGATCCAGTGATAACTCAAAAAGTACTGAAAATATTTATATGAAACTTAAAATATGGGCAGATGACAGTCTGGAGATTATGCACATCTTTTTCTTTTCTTCCTATGTTGAAAATTCTGGTCGCTATGGCAACAAATAGACTGAATTTCAAGATTTCTGATTTGAATTTTTACGCTTTTTCAGTATAAGTTCTTTATTTCTTAAGGTGTTTACTTCAAACTTTAAATATAAGTTTCTGGTCATCAACCACATCATATGTGACAAGGTTTACAACTCTAGCACAAAAATGATTAGAATTACCTCCCTTGAACTTAGAATTTTTATGAAAAAAAAGTTGTCTTTTTTAAATAACTTCTTTATTTCTTAATGTATCTACTTCAAACTTCATATATATGTTTTTTATTATCACTCAACATGTGTGAGAAGGTTAGATACTCTAGTAACACTATTTCTAGAATTATGTCCCCCTTGAACTTGGTATTTTTTACTCCCAACTTCTTCATTCCTTATAGGATTTACTAAATCCAACATCATAATAATATGACAAGGTTTATAAATCTAGATCCATATTTCCAGAATTATCTCCTCCTTAAACTTTAAATTTTTCTTATTCATTCTTTAACTTTCTTATTTTTTCATGGATTTTCTTCAAATTCAAAATAAACTTTCATTATCAACACCTACATGTACATTATACATTGTATTTTTGTTTTTGATTTTCATCTTAATGTTACTTACTTTACATTATAGTTAATGCTTTGTTTGAAAATTGTTAATTTTTTTACTTATCTTCTTCGTGACTTTAAACTCACATCAATGTTCATAAATCAAGCATCGTTATTTCAAGAGTTATTTCTTTTTTAAGAATTTTGTATTAAAGTATGTTGTATTTTGTTAACGGGGATGTTTAAAAGAATAACTTAAGAGTCTCCTTCAGTCTGTCTGTCTATTCATAAAAACTGTTTTCTCAGATCACTTTAAAAGATTTTTTCCGACAAATTTATTTAAATAGAGAAAAGTTGAAACATTTAAGTTATACTTGCTGGGGTTTTAACCGGTAGGGGACTTATGGATTGCTTGCAATACTATGATAATTGCTTATTTTTATTTGATATTTATTAACATCAAGGTATTTTAGATACTTGACAGTATGATTTTTGTCTCGCCTTAAAAGACATATAGACATATAGGGATAACTTTTGTCGGCGGCGGCGTTGTCAGCGTCCCCTAAAGCTTGTCCAGAGCATAACTCAGTCACTAGGAGTCTGAATTACTTCAAACTTGGTATGCATGCTAACCAAAAGTGCAGTGCACAAGAATTAGTACTCTGCACTTCTTAATTTTTGAGTTATTGCCCTTTGTTAATTTTCATACTTTATTTTTGTCATCTGCTGGTCATGAACATTCATCACTCAGAAACCATTTTTACCTAAAATGTCAATGTGATTTGACCTTTGACCCCTTGACCCCAAAATTGTTAGGGGTCATCTACTGGTCATGAACAATCATCATACCAAGTTTGAAGTTCCTAGGCGTATTCTTTAGTTATCACTCGGAAACCATTTGGTCTACAGACCGACGGACAGACTGATAGACAAATGCAAAGCAATATACCCCCACTTCTTTAAAGGGGGGCATGATTATATAACCTTTTTTTCCATCAAAAATTGGATAACATAAACTTACATAAAAATTACATAAAGTTTTTTTTTGGTTTCTATGAATATATCATTCATTAAAAATTGTATAATTATATGTGAATAAATAACAGTCTTTTCTTTGATGAACTTTTCCAGAAAAAAGTTTAAAGATGAAAACAACGTGATTGTACAGTTTTTGGAAAAATTTTCTTATATTTTTCAAACTTAACTACAGTATAGCTTTACACTCTTTCAAAATACTTTAGCATGATTGTTTTTACAGGAACAAATTATACAGATGAAGCCGGCCAGTTTAAAGCAACAAGTTATCCAGGGTTATTTAATATAACATGGAAATTGTATGGTATGTCCTAATAATTTAAAAAAAAAATACTGCCAAAATACTTGGATGAAATAAATATGGTAATTAATTGCCTTTAAGCGAGTGGCACATGAACAAAATCATCGCTAAATGGATAAATAAATATTGTGTTCCGGAACACTTTTTTCTGTTTCTGTAAATTATTCATGTGTGTTAAATAATTAACAGAGACATTCTATGTAACAACTTTTTCGGGAATCAACCATATAATAATGGAACCAATATAATTTTACTGTTTATAAATTTTATAAAAATATTTCATAAGAAAAAGATTTATACTCTTTAAGGTAGCTTCCTTCACCACTTAGCCACAATAAAATTGTTTTAAAAATGTTTCAGTAAATACTTCAAAAAAGCCAGTTATTTGTTCAGTATTTCTTTTTGAAGATGTCACAATAAATTTATTCATGTATATTATTGAAGGTAAAGCAACCATTTATCTTATGAAATACAGCATACAACCTCAGTATGGAATACAAGATAGGTATCAAACATGTCTACATTTTTCTGGAACAAAAACCTAGCCAAGTCAGGTAAGAAAATGCAAATAAGCTTAAAATCTAGGATAGTGAGTCTCTCACATTTTTACATACAATTAAAGACTTTATATTTAATATCAAGTTGGTAACATTATAAGACATGGTGACTATCTGACATTTTAAATCATGGTGACAATCTGACATTCTAAAGCATGATGACAATCTGATATTATAAGACATGGGGACAATCTGACATAACAAGGTAATATGACATTCTAACATTTTAAATCATGGTGACAATCTGACATTATACAACATGGTGACAATCTGACATTGTAAGACAATCTGACTTTACAGGGTAAGGTGACATTCTGACTTTTCAAGGTGACCATCTGACATTATAAGGTGACAATCTGACATTATAAGACATGGTGACAACCTGACATTATAAAACATGATGACCATCTGACATTATTAGACATGGTGACCATCTGACATAATAAGACATGGAGACCATCTGACATAATAAGACATGGTGACCTTATGACATTATAAGATGATAACCATTCATTTTCATAAGGCATGTAAAATCTTTTCTTTTTAAAAAAAAAAACAAACAGTAACATTTCAATGTTGTATATGGTGACATGTGTCTTGAATGAATCCACATAAAACTGGTTTGGACTATGAATAACAGTGTTCACATATAAATACCAGATTCAAACAATTGTTCATACTGAACTCCACTAATAACCATTTATTGAGTACTATACAATTATTATTAAAATTTTAAGAGCGAAACAAAATATTCTTTATTAAACATATCCCTAAACTTATTGTATTTTTATTTTTTATTGTTTAGGGATGGTACAAAGTTATTTTACAGTGCAATCTACCAGTATTGTCAGTAATTCGTGTTACCTTAAAACTGCCAAGTGGTGTTCTAAACTCTACCTCCAAAATCACAACATACAAGACAACAAAAAGAACAACAAAGCTTGCATATGGTGTCAATAGTAATAGATTTTCTGTATTTTATGGATTTCATCTATCCTTTTTTTAAATTAATGTCAAAAAAGTCAGATTTCAGCCAAATGTAAAATATTTGTTTTTACTCTGATATTTTGTGATGACTTGAAAATAAGCAAGAAAATGTTGAAAAATTGTAGCTTAAAAAATGTAATTAGCTTAAAATAATACATTTCTACATGTACAATCATGTAGTATCTTGACCTGAAACTTGAAAATAACTCAGCAAGACTTTACTAGGATAACAGATCATTGTGACATTATTGTGGCATTTACGTAACTGACATCTTTTTACCCCTTATATATACTTTATTCTTTTATGACTTTATTTTATATATATTCTATGAACATGTTATATCTTTGTCTAGTGGCCTTGCTCTTCCCTGAATTTGCAACATTTCAATTATAAAAGGATGTTTAGTATCTATTTCTAAAACTGACGAGCTGACAGAAAAAAATGTCAGATCTGGTTGGTGGCTTAGTTGTGGGGTGCTGTAATAATATAGCAGTGTACATTCAATTTTTTGGTACTGGGGTATTTGATTATATCTAGTTCAAGATGAGATAAATCATATTCCAGCACTGCCCACAGAAGAACCTCAAAAAGCTGGTACCAACCAAGCTGAACCAATAAGCAAAATGACAACAGTTGCTATCGTTACATCTGTAGTAATACTTGTTGTTGCAGCAACAACAGTAGTGTACATGAGACAAGGTAATGCTACCGATTGATGCACCGAAATTTTATTATTATTTTTATTAATGTTATTTTGATTGGTAATTTAAAGTCACAGCAACATTGTGAGGACCCCAATGATTATTTTCAAAATCTATTTCCAGCTCTTCTGGCGGATGAAGACTATCCAATAATATCATTTTTACAAGTAACTCTAAGCAACCAATTAGGTCCATCACACTTTGTAGCTTACTGGATAACTTCCTCACATGAAAAAATTCATTCAACATTAATGGCAGGATTTGTACCTGCTGCAGTTAGAGACAAGTGATACAAAAATTAAAGCTTGAGATTAACTTTTGACCTGATGAAACTGATCAGTCTTTGCAACAAAATACATGTGAACTCTCCCACTTTGAGTGGGAGACTCCCACTTTCTGCAGCCATATTTTCAAAGATTTTTCTTAAAATAAGGGGTATTTTCGCAAATTAAAGAAATCTCCCATCTTTTTGATGTCATAACCTCCTTTGTGTATTGCAAATTCTGAAATCTCCCTCTTTTTGAAGAAAAATCTCCCACTTGATCATCCAAAAAAGTTCACATGTATGCAACAAGTATAATACAATGTCAACATGCAGACTGAAGCTTAACTTGTACATGGCAAACTTAATTCAACACTAATGATTGCTAAAAATTGAGACATAACAAAAATAGAAACAAAATTATAATTTCGGTTTATTATTTTTTATCACCTATGTCTTGTTTTTACCACTAGTTATAAATATGCAAAGTAAATTAAAGTAATCATTTTTTTTTAATAAAAAAAAAAGGTAATGAATGTAAATAGTACCTTGGTAAAACCACAAAAGTTCAATGTGATTCCTTGTTTCAAGACACCTTCTACTCATTAAGAGGTCATTAATCATAGTTATATTCAAACCTGTAATACTGTGGTGCAAGTTTATAAGTCAACTAGACTATCAATTAATAAACAAATCTCAGTAATTAGTTTTCAATATAACATTCTTGTTGTAATTAAGGTATCACTGTGAATTATGTTTCAGTGAGAAAGAAGAGAGCTAATGCAGATTTAACAGATAGTAATGATATGAACTGTGAGGAGACGAACAATAATACATCAACTTATAACAATTTCATACCAACCAGTTATAACGAATCATTGTTCCAGACTAGAAATTTAAATGATGAACATCATATAACACGGCAAAATTGTGATAATGGAAACCCGAGAAATCATATACACAAGTCTTCTGTTTCAACAAGTAATCCAGGAAGATTAAAGACAATTAACTCAAATGGAGAACAAACACTACAACATACCAGTATACCCAGCAGACAGCTACATACTAGTCCTGAATATTCTGATGTATTTGATTCCAACTCTTATTCAAACAACACTCATAATATCCAATCAGTTCAAACAGAGCCAAACATTTGGATACATGACACAGCAACAGTACAAGATACAAACACAGATAGGTTTCAGCAAAGAACACAACATGTACCCTTTCCATCTAATCTCCGCAATATGATCATCTCTTTGAATATGGAAGAATAAATTTAGCCAGTTTTTTTCTTCTTTTATGCCAGAAAAATAAAACTTTGGTATATCACAATTAAACCTTGGCCTGCCTTAACCATGAATAGTGATAGGATTTTGCCACCAGTATAAAGCCTGGTCAGATCGAGTATGACCTTAAGAGTTAGTTGATAGCTAAATTTTTGTACATCAATATAGAAATATCTTGAACTTACAATAGATCAAAATTGCAAGCTGTTAAATCTTTGACATAAATACAGCAGGTTAATTAAGGGTTAACACTTACAGTGAAATTTTTTTAAAAACTTTATCTTTATTTTATTTATTACTCTGTAACAACTCAAGGTTATAACTTTTAATGAAAAGAACAAGGGCTCATCACAACATGTTTAAACCTAAATATATTCTTTAAATTAAGCTGTCGACTTTGCTAAATATAACTGGGACAAAAATCTATTACATTCAAAATCTATCAGATTTCATGAAGGATCTTTATAAAGGGAAGTAATAACACATCCTGTTTGGAATTCATTATGTAGAATAATGAGAATTTATATAATAAGGATTTACTAAAACAAACACTTTTTATTTTTCTAATATACCTTTATAATTCTACATAAATTGCACCGTTACATCATGATTAAGCAAAAGAACAACAAATGAAGTACATGTATATCAAATATGAAAGACTGAATGTGTTTTCAATGTATCACTAACAACAGATCTAATTCAATATGAGCCGCGTCACGACAAAACCAAAATAATGGGTTTTCGACCAGCATGGATCCAGACCAGCCTGCGCATCCGCGCAGTCTGATCAGGATCCACGCTGTTCGTTATCAGTTTCTTACTTGTTGTAGAGTCTGTATGCCAGTATGCCAACAGCATGGATCCTGATCAGACTGCACGGATGCGCAGCCTGGTCTGGATCCATGCTGGTCACAAACGCACTGTTGGTTTTGTCGTGACGCGGCTCAATTATGTATTACATGGAATAAAGCTGAAACAACAGGAATGTCTTAAAATATCACATGATTGAAATACAAGCAAGTTAGAATCTTCAATACATGCATTAAACATAATATACATAGTGTATGGTGACCTATTTTCAGGTAAAAATTGATGCTATTTCTACCACAATACCAACTGTCATGTTAAGTTATTTTCAAATCATATTTCACAAGCTATACATATTACCCTACGACTTTGTGAATAACATGTGCAAGTTAAATGGATATTCAAAACTAAAAGAAAGATATTTTAAAAGTTATATGCTTATTATATTCAGGATATTTCTGAAATAAAACTTTGACACTTCATTCACTTTAGAGTCTCACCCATGGTGATCAATTAAGAATTGTTATAAAACATGCAAGTTTTTGTTGCTTTTATATCATATATTAACTATACACTGTATTTCCATCATACTTGCATTGCATAAAGAATAAGCACCTGGTGATAAAAACCATCAACATTTCATAACCATACTAAATAGCTTCCTTCACATAAACTGTATTAAACACACCTATGTGGATCAGTGCAGAAAGGTGAACCAAATATGGTTCAAAGTCAGCAAGTTTAGATTTTTTTATTTTAAAAATTTATTTACTCTTATATATTTTTAAACATTATTCATATAACTGGCCAAAAAGACCTGATATGTATTACACATAAGACAAGATATAATAAAAAATAATATAAAATATTAGAAAAATACTACTTGAACAATAAAACAAAACAAAAAGAGTACTTTTTACATACAATTACAGTATAAGATTGGTCATTTAAGACAGGAAGGATGACCAGCTACATTCATTTGTTGGCCTGATCACACTCTCGTACTGTTTAACATTGAAGCAAAGAAATTCAAAATTCAGACATATCTTTTAAATTATTTTTTTTTCTTATAATTATTGATTAATTACATGCAGGCCCTTGATAATTGTGAAAATGAAGATGAGAATGTTCATTATATATTTACTATTCTAACACTCACGTGATTTTGTCACTATAGACAAATAAAGAAAAAAACTGGTGTTAAACTGCCAATAAACACTGGTTAGGGACTACTTGTATAAGGGCTGTTATGTTTTCACCCTCGATTATATAGTTTACAAAGCATTTTAAAGCAACAATAAAAAGCATTTTTATTTATATTTTCAGTTTGTATAATGTTTTCTTTTCATACAATACCGAAATAATATCTCACATACACTAACGCCACATATTAAATCCATATCAGTTAATAAATATTTTGACAAAATGGCGCCAATCCGTAAGCAGCGTAATGACGTTATCCTAAGTAAACAAATCATTCATAAACAAGCTGACGTTATTTCATACAGACAAGAATGATAAATGGGGCACTGATGTAAACACAATACGACGTAAGTTTTTATTGTTAAAAACTTGATAAAATAACGTTTTTTTCTTATTGTTTCTTTTGTTTAATAATTTCTATATCTTTGCAACAGTAGGGTGCGAGAATCGAACAGCGTTATACGAAAATCGGCACTTGAAGTTATTTCCACTTAAAAAATAACATTAGTGATTTTCCTTATTTCATCGTGTTAGAATCGAAATAACATCGGCCTGAGAGGTGTATATCGGCTATTTAACACCGGTTTTGTCGTTTTGAAGCGACAAAATTAACCACTCAGGCCCACGGTCTTCGTGGTCAATTCCAACGCATCAAAACTCCAAACCAGGGTTAAATAGCCGATATACACCTCTCAGGCCGATG